GTTGTAGACCAAGGTGGAGGTGGGGACGGGGAGGGAGGGAGGGTTAGGAGGGGGGGCACGCACACTCATGAAAACACATCTCCCAAGACGGCCTGGTTGCAACACTGGCCGTTCACCTAGGGCCAGGCGGCGATAGATGTACGCATCGGTCTTGCGCGCACGAGGCGGTAGGGCGATGGGCGAGGGTTCCGAGGGGGGGGGAGGGGGGGGGGCGTGATTCTCGGGCACGCTCGAAACTCATGCCCTGCATTCTGAGAGTGCAGGCGCGGGCGTGTCCGACCCATCCGCCCCCTCGGGAGGCCGACCCCATGGCTCTGCCAAACGAAGACCAGGCACGGTGGAGGCGCCTGCAGCTGGAGAAAAAAACCACCGAGCGATCGAACGACATGAAGATACACGTATCTCAAAGGGGTCGAGACTACAGAGGGGGAAACGGATGGCAATGGAAGGAAATTAACAAATATAAAGAGAGTGAGAGAGAGAGAGTGTGTGTGTGTGTGTGATAACGAGAGATACACAACGCGAGAAAGACGGATAAGATGGAGGTACACCAATCGCGATGTTATGCCATGCGATGCCCTGCTGTGCTAGACTCCATCCGCGCCCACTGCTACGCAATTTCTGATCCGCCCCCAAAAAAACAATCCGCAACGCTATGCCGCGAAATGTTAAGATGCAGCGTTGTACGCCGTTATGGTATGAGGTTCCGCGCTCATACACCACGGGACTCATTCCACGCACGACGTTGACCATCATATAAAGATATATGTATATATTTATGTGTATATATATGCAAGCATATATCTATATATGTATATATATATACGCATCATGCGAAGGCAAGCAAGTTGTGCGACGTATCCGCGTGGTACTGGCCCAAAATAAAAAACGTGCTTCACTATCTTGCAACATTTGCCACCCGCCAGCTGCGTTGCACAATGTCGCAACATTCACGGCTAAGCACGCTGCGCAACATCGCGGCGTCGCGCGCGCCGCCTCACCATACTGCCACGCATCGGCTGTGGCACAACGCCAGAACAGCATAACACAACAATAACATTACAAACCAACCGACGGGATATCACGGCGCGCTCGAGGGAACAACGCGGGAAATGGGCGGGAAATCCACGGGATGTTACAGGAAGTTTGCGGGAAGTTTGCGGGATGTTTGCGGGAAGGTTCGGGAACTTCGCGGGAAGTGTTCGGGGCGTTTGCGGGAAGTTTCGGGAACTTTGCGGACGCTCGCAGGCGCGCCGCACATGCTAGCGCGCCGCCGTTCCGCCCGATCAGAGCCCGTCGCCGCGCGGGGGAATGTCGCCCTACAGTGCGAACCGCCTCCCTCGGCATATTCCTCGTCGCTCCTCCCCCTCCCTCCGATTTCTCGCGTCGCGCCGATCGGCCCTGGCCCGTTAAACAGCAGGAGCTGCCGCGCGAGAGTTACCAGTGAACGGCCAAATCTGCGGCGCCTCCGCCGACCCTCTCTCGTCGCCCACCGCCCCACGCATGCGCGTCGCGCGTCGGGCGCGCATTGCGCGGCCACGCGTCGAAACAAGAGACTGCGCGCAGGCGGTGTCGTTCCGCGCGCAATGGCGCGATCGCGCTGCCGAAGTGGCCGCGGGCGTCGCGCGCCCACGCCATCTTTTCCTAGATGTGTGCACTTTTGATAGTCCACCCTGCGCAGTCACTCAAAACGCCGACAACCCGCACGCGTAAAAAGTTACCTTTTTACCTTTTTGCCTTTTTGTAGTTCTCTTTTTATGGCGCAGTTCCCTTTTTTCCTAAAAAGTTCGCTTTTCACCCTAGTTCCCCAAAAAGTATGCTAAGTGACCTGTGGGAGTGCCCTGGCAAACATGGAAGTTACTTGGGTGGCTGTGGGTGCCGTCGCAGTGGCTGAGCATGACGGGTGCGCGGGAACATCCTCGCAAAGGGCAGCCTCAGGCGCCGTTTCTAAGGCCCCCGCCGCGTCGCACCAGCCAGCCGCTTCGGCGGCTCAACCAGGGGCGCGTTCGCCACCCGTCTCGGCGGGTTCGGCTGGCGTGCGCCCGCCGCCCCACCCAGGCAATCCCACCGCCAAATCCGCTGGCGCGCCTGCCAGCGCGGCGAAAGAAGAGCTCCTGACAGCGGGTTTGGCGTCCGCTTTTGTACGGCCCGCGGCTGGCGACCGAGCCCAATTGGCGGATGCGTCGGCAGGGGCCGCATTCCGCGTAGGGATTCCAGTGCTGACCAACAAGCGGCCTTTAGAGGCGGGCGAGGTGCTGGCTCTGCGCAGGCCCGCTCGGAAAGCCGCTAAGGTGGCCCCGCGACCTAAACCCGTCGACGTGCGCAAACTCGCCGCGCAAGGCGAGGGGCACTGAGCGCGGGGCCACGTCTCGGCCTAGTTGGCCGCTTCGGCGGCCACGGTTGCCTCGGGGGCCGTGTCTGCGGCCGTGTCTGCGGTCGCCGCTGGGTGATCGACGACTTCGGCCACCCAAAGGCGCGGCTTGGAGCCGCACTCGGTCGTCGCGTCGAGTTGCCAGTCGGCGACTTCCGCGCGTGCCCGGGCCTGGCCCGTCGGGCGCCCGGGCGCCCGGGCGCCTGGGCGCCCGGACGTCTGGGCGTGTCTGGGCGTGTCTGGGCGTCCGGGCTGGGCGCCCAGGCGTCCGGGCGTCTGGGTGCGCGCGGGCGCCCCGGCATCCGGGCGCCCCGGCATCCGCGGGCTCCCGGGCGTCCGGACGTCCGGGCGCCCGGGCGCCCAGGCGCCCGCGCGTCTTGGCGTTTGAGGCGCCCGGGCGCCCGGGCGCCCGGGCGCCCAGGTGCCCGGGCGTCCGGGCACCCGGGCGCCCGGGCGTCCGGGCGTCTGCGCGTCCGGGCGCGGGCGTTCCGGGCGGTTCTGGCGCCCGCGCGCCGTGTGCGCATGGGCGTCTGGGCGCTTCAGGCGCGCGGGCATCTGGGCGCGTCTGGGCGCGTCCGGGCGCCCGGCCGGGTGCCCGGGCATTTGGGCGGTTCGCGCGTCCGGACGCCCGCGGAGTCCGGGCGCTCCGGCGTCCGGGCGTCCGGGCGCCCGGGCGCCCGGGCGTCCGGGCGTCTGGGCGCTGCGCCTGGGCGTCCGAGCGTCCGGGCGCCCGGGCGCCTGGGCGCATGCGCGTGCGTCCGGGCGCGCCAGGGCGCCCGGGCGTCTGGGCGTCCGAGCGTCCGGGCGCCAGGGCGCCCTGGGCGCCAGCACCCATGTCCGGGCGTTTGGCCTGCCGGGCGCCCGGGCGCCCGGGCGTCCGGGCGCCTGGGCGTCCGGGCGCATGGGCGCCCAGGGCGTCTGTGGTCCGGGCGTCCGGACTTGCGCCCAGGCGCCCGGGCGTCCGTCCGGGCGTCCGGGCGCCCAGCTGGGCCCTGGTAAAATTGCGCCATCCTTGGCTCGGCGGCAGGCTCTCCCGTGGCTGAAACTGGCTCTCCTGGACCACCTCCCCCTGGGACAGCTTGCTGAGGCCCCTCGAGGACCCCCACGGGAGCTGATGTCGGACGTGGTTTGTGCAGTCATCCTCAACGTCGATCACGGCATCGTGTCCTTCAAAACGTGCACACGGCAACTGAACATTTTCAACCCTGGAACTCGAGCTGGCCGCGCCGAATGATGTCCGCTTGACGCGGCGGGTGACAACAGGCGGAAGGAGTACCGAACCTAGCCCGTCATTCGCAACAATGTCAATATCAGTGTATTCCGACTCTGCATCAGAAGCGTGGCTCATGAAGATAAACGTGGCACATCTGGAACGGTGCGTGCACATGGGAAATCACCGAACGCCTATTCAGCTGAGTCGAAATGGCAAACGGATGCGATGTCAACGCGTGCAACCGTCGAGAAGCATGTTCCCAAAGAGTGCTTGCATTTAGAGGCTCTTACCTGGCTCAACTATCTCAGGGTGTATGGTTGCTGTTGCGAACGGTGCCGCCCGTCACCGCCGCCGTCGTCGTCGTCGCCGTCGCCGCCGCTCGGGGCGAGTTTTGCGGTCGGCGCCGCCCGTCGCCGCCGTCGCCGTCTCCGTCGTTGTCGCCGTTGCTCGGGGCGACTGGCAGCGTTTGCGGGCGGCGCCGCCAGTCGCCGCCGTCGCCGCCGCCGCCGCTCGGGGCGAGCGAGGGTTTTTGCGGGTGGTGCCGCCCGTCGTCGCAGTCGCAGTCGCATAGATCGCACCACATAGATTGCATTGCGCACATTGCACCGCATATATTGCACTGCTGCATAGGTTGCACGGCGTAGGTCGCACGACATAGATTGCACCACATATATGGATTGCACCGCATATGTTGCATCACATAGGCTGCACCTATTATACTGCACCGCATAGATTGCATCGCATATGTTGCACCGCACAGATTGCATTACATAGGTTGCATCGCGTACACTGCACCACGTATATTGCACCGCATAGAACAGATGGCAAGAACCTTATATTCGGGGTACACGCTGGCTGACATTCGTTTAAGCATATGTGCCAGGAACCGCTATATTGAATAACATCCCTGCTGAGTGCAATCCCGCCCAATGAGGGTCGAACAGGCAGGGTGGAGGGGAAGAAGAAGTATGAGGAGGACCTGATGGGCAAATAAGGGTGAGGAGAACGTGCACGTAGGGGAACCTCGTCGGGCTTGCAATTGGGACCAACGTGAAACCTGACCCAGACACGCAGGGCATCGGACCGACTTTGGGCAGCCAGGTCGCGCCCGTTCGGTGGCAGCGTTACTTTCGGCTGCCGATCGCGCAACCCATGGCGCAGCAACTCGCAACTCGGAGAAAGTAATATCTTCGGCGACTGCAACCCGTGGCGCAATGACATGGCTTGACTAACGGTTGGCGGCCGAGTGCGCAACCCATGGCGCAAACTGAACAATCCGTAGGAGGGATCAGCTGCATCTACCGCGGTGGGGCGGCGTCCTGGCCCCCCTCACCCGCCCCCCTCGATATCCGTCTCCTCGTCTTTTCCGGACTAGGGGCAGGGGGGGCAAGGGTCCAGCCACGGCGGAGCGCCAAGGTCGGGACGCTGCAGACGTACGTGTCGGAAAAGCAGCGGTTCGCCGTGGTTCCCGAGGAGGGCGACGAGGGACCCATTTTGGTGAAGGTGAAGAACATCAGAAAAGTTTGATGGTCATGCGGGGATGTGTCGAACGTGGCGATGTTGGCAAGCAAGGGGCGAAGTGAGGGGTTCAGGTGCGAGGTTCGAGGTCTGAAGTTTTCGGGCGTTTTCGTCGGTGCTCGGCGGTCGTCCAACTTCGGGATGCGTTCCATCGGCTGCGCCTCGCCGCGGGCGTTCCAGGGGTGCCGGGATCGTCCCGAACGGCCGCCGGAGAGCCGAGGCATAGCTCGAAAGCCAGGGACAACGTTAAGGGGGGGACAGGTTATGGGGGGGGGGATGCATCGGTCCCCAATCGCCCTCCGATCGCCGATCGGGGCACGATAGCCTACCCCATCCAGGAGCGTGCGCTTTCGCTGTCGAGGGCCCATCGCCGATCTATCGGCGACGTCTCGTCGATACCATTGTCGAGGTCCCAGGAGGAGGAGGAGGAGGAGGAGGAGGAGGAGGAGGAGGAGGAGGAGGAGGAAGAGGAGGAGGAGCCCCCCCTTTGGCCAGTCCCGCCTTGTCGTTGCCCCTCGGCGAGAGAGGGTGGGGTGGTGACTGGTGGCATGGTCGTGGCGAGAGGGCTCCCCCCTCCGTGCAGGTCGAGAGCCGCAGGAGCGCGGGCGAGGCTGTCGAGGGATACTCATCGTGCGCTCCGAGACTTGTCCTGCTGCCGCTGCGGTTTCTGCTCCGCGCCCCCTCCCCTCGCCAGCCTTCTCCTCCTCCTCCGCCTCCCCGTCTGTCCTTTCTCTCTTTTTCTTCGCCCTGCGGTTTCGCCCCCTCGCATTCCTCTTTCCCCGCTCCATCCTTTCGCTCCCCACCGTCTCCATCGTCGTCGTTCGAGGCCCCATACCCATCCGCTCTCCTCCTCCTCCTCCTTCTCCTCCTCCTTTTTCTCCTCCCTTTTCTCCTCCCTCCCATCGCTGCTTCCATTCCCGTTCCTTTTCTTCCATCTCCCTTCGTCCCTTTTCCCAGTCTCCCGTCTTCCCTCTCGCTCCCTCATGCCCCCTTGTTCTCCCTGCGTGATGCTCCTCCGTTCGCCCTGGAGGAGGAGGAGGAGGAAGAGGAGGAGGAGGAGGAGGAGGGGGAGGAGGGGGAGGAGGGTGGAGGAGGAGGAGGAGGAGGAGGAGGAGGAGGAGGGCGGAGGAGGAGGAGGAGGCAGGTATCTGCAGGGTTTTTCTCCTGCAGGTCCTGGGGCAGCCAGGCCAGGCATACCGAGATCGACGATGGAACGAGCTGTGACCCGGACGTGTGTGGGGCGCGGTGGGAGCGGGATGGCGCCGCCGCCGAACAATTGCCGGCGAAGGGATGCTGGGCATGACGGGGACGTTATCATCGAGACAATCGCGGGCATTGTTGCTGACTTGCTGAACGGAGTAGCCCGCGCCAGGTAAACGCGGCGCGCTTCCACGGTTTGTGTGGTGTGCAACCAAGCGGGGTTCGCGGCCTTCCCCGGGCATGCCAGTCGACATCGACCATACCGACCGAGGGCTTGCACATCAGACAGCTGTGTATCGATCAGGCGCGCGGAACGCATTTGGCAATACTAAAATACCAGCCTTCTGTTGATGTTGCAACCAGTGCTTCCGTTGCGAATGTATACGCTGGACGCGCGTGACCAGCGATGGAAGGTGCATCTAAAGGGGGCAGGTGTTTGGGAGGTGTGTGTGTGCGTCTGTGTGTGCGCGCGTGTCCCTTCGGCGAGGTAGCGCACACACCTGTGCCTATGGACATATCGACGGCCGACGTCAGAGGAGGTAACGATGGAGGAACCTGTGGTCTGTATAGTACCACATTGGCAAATCTCCATCTGAGCCCACACGTGCGCAGCACAGAGTTTCATCTTTTGCGCGGCGAGTGGATCATCAGGCGGCAGCAACGTTGTTCGTGAGCATATGCAGGAGCACAATTGCCCAATTGAAAGAAGCGTGGTGCCGTACTGCGCGCGGGAGCGCTGTTGGCAGCGAGTTCAATTCGACAATCCGAAGGCCGATGCTACATGTGCGGTCCACTAGGCGGACGTCATACTTAACTGGAGACTGGAGACTCATAATGCAGACGCCTTGACGCAAACCGTCTGCACATGCTCGAGGCCACCATATCCAGAGCAGTGCATTGGTGTTCTGACATGCACCGCACAACAAGAGAGCGACTTTGGAAGGACGCAGTGGTCCACGGTGATGCACGCGGCGCGGCCAGGAATGCGCTCACGAGAACCACGCGTCATCGATCCGCACGCGACGACTGTTGCTGAAGGCAAAGCTCGGGAACCATGAGCTAAGTGCCAGTAAAAGGTTTCCTTTACGGCACAGTCGAGACGTGTTGGGGACATAATTGGCTATGCATTCCGGGTAGGACGAACGATCTGCCCAGCGGATGGTTCACAGCGTGTGGGTAAAGCTCGCGCAGGGGACAGTCAGATGCCCAAGGCGCTTTCCGACCCAGAGGATTCCGTGTGTGGGAATCGCAGGGGCAGCTCTACGAAGACTGCGCGAAGCATGTCGTGCGCAGCTTTTTGGGCACCGATGGCACAGGGTGGGAGTGGTGCCCAGCGGGTGCGGAAGCGGGATCATCCCGCGCAGCACGCGCGACGCCGGCCACGCGCCGTGACGGTGCGCCATGGGCAAGGTACCGCGTCACACATGTCGGGTGGGGGCTCCGGCGTTCGCGCGAGCATCGCTGTCTGCGAGAATCCGAGGTGGATAGACCTCCTACCCTGACGCGTCGATTCAGGAATGGGCCGTTTTCGGTTCGCGAGAGGGCGTCGCGGCCGTCATCTCTGCGGGTCCAGGTCCGTCGGCTTCGGTCCCAGGCCGTTTTTCACTAGAAGGGGAGGTTTGCTAAGGGGAGGCTTGTCCACCGCCGAGAGGAGGTGCGACGGAGCAGCACCGAGGCCTGGTGCGGTGCCGCGCATGTCAAGGTGCCTCCTCCCTCCTCCTCCTCCTCCTCCTCCTCCTCCTCCTCCTCCTCCTCCTCCTCCTCCTCCCTCGCCCTCCACCTTCCGCACCTTCCGCGCGGCAGGTGCCGCGCCGCGGCGGACGCCGCCGCCGCCGAAGCCGATGCTGCGGCCTCGGCGGAAGCCGCAGTGGCGGCCGCGGCGGCGGCCGCCGCGGCGTGGAACCTGCCGCGCGGAAGGTGCGGAAGATGGAGGGTGGGAGGCCACCTCGGACGTGCCTCGGCATGCTCGCCGCCCCGAGGGGCGCAGCGCCAGGGCGCGGCACCGGACTTCCCGCCGCCGTGGCAGGGCCGCGGGCCAAAGGCCTCGAGGGTTTGCGTTGGGACGTCGCGGGGGGGGGGCCTCTCGGGGGCCTCTCGCGGACCGTCTTGAGGCCTCCTGGGTGCCCCATCCGTGCCTCCTGGGGGCCTCTTGGGGCCGCCTTGTGTCGGGAGCCGGGCACGGGCTGCGAAATCCGTGGCTGCCAAAGTCGACCTCCGGGAAGTTGTCCTCGTCCTTCCGTGAAGCAGCCTGTTGGCTGTTTCGCGTGCCGCGCCTCCTTCCGGGAAGCTGTTTTTTCCTTCCGGGAGGGCCGTTTTAGCAGCCACGGTGGCCCAGCTTCCGATTGTGGTCTCTTGGGGCTCTCGGGGCGGAAAATCCTCGGGCGTTCGGTTCGCATTACCCCTCTTGGGCCCCTCTTTGGGGCTGTCTTCGGGCCCTCGTGGGCCGACGGGTGCGCCCCCGGGGCCGTCTTGGATCCCTCTCGGGCCGTCTGGGGGTCCTCTCGGGCCACCTCGGGGCGGTTTGGGGGGCCTCTTGGGTCACCGTGGAGGGTCGGAAGCTCGAAGCATCGAGAACCCCAAACACATTGAAGCACCAGAGGAACATGTTTGGGGCTCTCGTGAAGCGCTTCGGAGACTTCTTGGGTCGTCTTGGGGCCGGCTTGGACGTCTTGGGCCGATTGATTGGCGATTTGGGGCCCTCCTGGGCCGTCTTGGAGGCCTCTCGGGACCCTCTTGTCCCGTCTTGGGGCCCTCTTGGGTCCGAGCAAGTCATGCGCCAAGACCAAGACGCCGCGAGCCCAGGACGCGGCGCGCCCCAGGAGATTCGGCAATGTTGGGTCCAGGCCCTCCAAATAATCCTCAGGATTCAAGGTTGTTGAATAATGTTGCAGGCCTTTCAAATAATCCTCAGGATTCAAGGATTCAGGATCCCCTTGTTCCAGGCCCTTCAAATAATCCTTGGGGATCCAACAAGGGGCCTGAGAACACTCCAACTCGTGCCTCTAGGGCACGGTGCCGGAGATGGCCCTGCATGCGCGCCTTCGCCAAGCGATGGCGTGCTGTTTTCGCCGATGCCCCTCGCCATCCCCCTCGCCGCCCCTTTCCACGCCCCAGCCCTCAGTGCCTTGCCCGCCTCCCCCTCTCTAGCTGTGCCGTCCCCCTCCCCCAGCCCTGCCGCTCGCTCTTCACTCACGTAAGGTAGGTTCGTAGCGTGTCGACCAGCGGCGACCCCGCCGCCAGCGTTCAACGTTGAACGCCGGCGGCAGCCCAGAATCGGTCGACGTTGAACGATCGGACGTTGCGGAAACGGCCGATCGTTCAGGGGTGAACGATCCCCGCTGTGTCAGAAACCAGCGCCCGGGTCGACACGACACGAACCTGCCGTACCAATCTTCGCGAGGAGGAGGAGGAGGAGGAGGAGGAGGAAGAAGAGGAAGCAGAGGAAGAAGAGGAGGAGGAGGAGGAGGAGGAGGTGGACGACACGAACCTGCTGTAGGGAATGGCCCATGCCGGTGTTTCAGCACCTCGAGGCGCGCTGCCTTCAGGTATCCCAGAGGCGGGCACGAAGTAGGGCCTGCCGGCGGTAAGTACGGCCTCCTCCTCCTCCGAGGAGGAGGAGGAGGGGGATTGTGCTAGGATTGTGCTACTTAGGACTTACGCAGATGGATAGCACTACGCAAGCCGCCTTCGCCGTGCAGGTTTAGACTTACAGGGGCTTCCCTATGGATGGATGGCGGCCCTCCCACAAACGCATCAGTCGACCCTTGGCCGTCCGAGCTCGGGCGGGCCTATAGCCCTCCTTCACACGGTTCGTCCACTTACACTGAGCGTAGGAAGAGCATCGCCTGTAGCGTCTAGCACCGACTGGCGATGGAATCAGAGCCCCGCGCCAACTCAATGGGCGCGTCGCGGCGTTCGATTTCGGTAGCAGAGGGCCCAACCTGACCTGTCGTGAACAAACTCGTGAAGAAGGCACGATACCCCATGCTACACAGTCACAGCGCTGGCGGACGTGTGCAGCTCGGCGGGGCGCTTCTGGCAGCGCTGCACTCTCAGGTCGGCAATGCATGATCAGGGCTGCTGGCCCGGTCCCCCGAGCCATGGGCCCGTGGTGGGGTGGCAGCGCATCGACTGCCCCAGGGCAGCCTGGAGAAACTCCGCAGCCCAGAACCGCAGGTGACGTCCAAGGCAGCGCAACCTGACGTCGTTCTGTATCTTTCTGTCGACACGAGGGGGCGCTGTCTGGCGCCCAGGCACCCCAGATCGTTGGCTGTCCGAGGTGGGCTGTAGTATCGGCGGTTATGGGTTCATTCGAAGGCATCGTCGCGACCAAAGCCACAGGCCCGAATACTCCAGCGAACAGATTGTGCGCCTCGGTTGCCTGAGCCACTCTTTCGCGAGGGGGAGGAGGAGGAGGAGGAGGAGGAGGAGGAGGAGGAGGAGGAGGGGAGGAGGAGGTGGAGGAGGAGGAGGAGGGAGGGGAGGAGGAGGTGGAGGGGAGGAGGAGGAGGAGGATGGCGGAGGAGGAGGAGGAGGAGGAGGAGGAGGAGGAGGAGGAGGAGGAGGAGGAGGAGGAGTGGAGGAAGTGGAGGTAGGAGGAGTGAGGAGGAAGGAGGAGGAGGAGGAGGAGGAGGAGGAGAGGGAGGAGGAGGAGGAGGAGGAGGAGGAGGAGGAGGAGGTTGAGGGAGGAGGAGGGGAGGAGGAGGAGGAGGAGGAGGAGGAAGGAGGAGGAGGGAGGAGGAGGAGGATGGAGAGGAGGAGGAGGGGGGGGAGGAGGAGGAGGGGAGTAGGAGGAGGAGGAGGAGGGGAGGATAGGAGAGGAGGAGGAGGAGGAGGAGGAGGAGGAGGAGGAGGAGGAGGAGGAGGAGGAGGAGGAGAGGAGGAGGAGGAGGGGAGGAGGAGGTGGAGGAGGAGGAGGAGGTGGAGGAGGGAGAAGGTAGGAGGGGTGGAGGGAGGGAGGAGGGAGGAGGAGGAGGAGGAGGAGGAGGAGGAGGCGGAGTAGGAGGAGGGAGGGGAGGAGGAGGAGAGGAGGAGGAGGAGGCGGAGGAAGGAGGAAGAGGCAGGAGGAGGAGGAGGAGGAGGTGGTGGAGGGGGGAGGAGAGTAGGGAGGAGGAGGAGGAGGAGGAGGGGAGGAGGAGGAGGAGAGGAGGAGGAGGAGGTGGAGGAGAAAGAGGAGGAGTGAGGAGGAGGAGAGGGGGAGGAGGAGGAGGAGGAGGAGGAGGAGGAGGAGGAGGAGGAGGAGGAAGGGAGGAGGAGGAGGAGGGAGGAGGAGGAGGAGGAGGAGGAGGAGATCCCCCCCTTTCCCCACCCGCCCTCCCTCCAGTCGCTCACGCCCCCCTCTCTGCCACGCCCTGCCTGCCCCCACCGTCCATCTCCCCGCTCGCCTCTCCCACGTGTGCACCTCTCCCTGCCTCCAGGCCTCCCGGACGGGGTCAGACCAGATGGGGTCGGAGGCTCGCGCCGCATCGCCGATGCCTCGACGATTCGGCTCAAAGCGGAGCCCGATCTGTTCTCCGCGCCGACGTCGCCGATGCATCGCCGATGCATCGGCGAGATATACATATATACATATATATATATATACACACATCGCCAACGTCGCCGATGCATCGCCGATGCCTCGTCGATGCGTCGGCGATGCGTCGGCGATGCGTCGAGATCCTCCGACCCCGCTTGGGGGGCTTCTACTGCCGCCCTTTCCTTCCCCCACCCCCTCCTGTGAGGTCGGGCGTGTCCCCCTACAGGCGGATTTTGAGGGGAAAACTGGAAATAGTCAAAAACAAATGCTCAACTGTGGCCAAGAACAGTAGAGATATCGTCCCCAGGCTATTCTGTTACCATGTTTGAATGTTCCTCCTGTAGAGGGACAGGCCCGACTTCACCCTCCTGCTCTGCTGCGAGATCAGTGGGCTGCCGTGCGAGCCCGCGCCGTCTTTCGCCTCCGCCCTTCTCGGCGAGCACCCGCGCCCCTCCCGGCGGGTGCGCCCGCTGCGGAGGACTGTTCTCCACCGCCAGCTCCTCTGTCTCCCGCCCCCACTCATCCCCTCCTCGAAATCTAGGGGGACAAGCAATGACATGAATATAAAAACTCGCGGAGGTCCGCGCGGATTTTCCGGATCGGCGCCGGGACCCCCCGGCGGCGCCTCCGGCGCCGCCCCTGGCGCGCTCCGCGCGCCAGGGAGGGGGATCCAGCGCCGATCCGAGACATCCGCGCGGACCTTCGAGTTTATGTGTATTTCAGTTTTCGTTCCCCTAAAAATCCCAAAATCCTAAAATGTGTTTGTTTTCAGTTTGTTTTTGTTCCCCTAAAATCCTCTTTCACCTTGTCCATCCTCCTTCTTTCTACACGAGTCCGCCCTGTCGCACCCCCAGACGCGCCGGTAGGGCGAGCCGGGCGCCCCGCCCGAGACTTCGTCACCATGTCTGATCCTGAAGCTTGAAATGCGGATCGTTTTCGAGGAGGAGGAGGAGGAGGAGGAGGAGGAGGAGGAGGAGGGGGGAGGAGGAGGAGGAGGAGGAGGAGGAAGGAGGAGAGGAGGGAGGGAGGAGGAGGAGGAGGAGGAGGAGGGGGGGAGGAGGGGGAGGAGGAGGAGGAGGAGGAGGAGGAGGAGGAGGAGGAGGAGGAGGAGGAGGAGGAGGAGGCGGAGGAGGAGGAGGAGGAGGAGGCTCACCATGTCTGATCCTGAAATTTGCAACATTTTCAAGGATGGAGGGCGGGCCGTTTTCGAAGTGCGGCTCTCGCTGTCGCGCGGCGCACGGTCGTTCCCACTGTAGCAGCTTCACCGACGGAGGGCGGGTCGTTTCCAAATTGCGGCTCGCGCCCCAACGCCACGCAGGTTCGTTTTCAATGATTGCAGCAGCTTCAGGGACGGAGGGTGGCTGGTTTTTTCAACATGCTGCTCTCGCTGCAGCGCCGCGCACGTCCCCTGTGGCAGCCTGCAGCAGCTTCAGGGATGGGGGGCGGCCGGGGTTCACAGGTGGCCATCGCCCTACAGCGCCGCGTGCATCCGTCCTGCCAAAAGATTGCAGCAGCCTCAAGGATGGAGTGCGGCTCCTTTTCGAGATGTTGCTCTCGCTCGAGCGTCGCGCACGAGGAGGCCCAGGCGAAAGATACCCCCCTCCCCCAAGTGCAACTCGAACAGAGGCAGGGCCGAAATCCAGCGTGACCCCACGCGTGCTCTCGCACAGCTTTGCGCGTGGCTTCTTTTGTTTCTCCTCGCGGCGGGCTTTTTGGAGTGCGCGGTTGGCGCGGCCATGGCGCGGCAGTCTCTCCCGCGTGTCCGTGTCAGGCTGGCGCAGCCAGCGACTCGCGCACATTCGTTTTAACGGTTTGCCGTATACAGTAGGGGTCCTGAAGAAGGAACCCTTTTCGTTGGGGAGGGGCTCCGCGTTCCTTGATAGTTTCACAGCTTGCCTCATGTTTTCCTTCTGTTTTCGATCGGAAATCGAAGTTTAACTTATGGAAAGAGGGGCCTCGTTCCTTATTTAGGGTTCCTTGGGTCAACGCCCCGACTGTATATTCCAGGATTTGCATGGCTGAAGTCCCAGGAGTGGTGTTTTGGCCTGATCTGGGATTGGCACGACGCCACAGTCGCGTTGATGCGCGGTGTTGAAGTACCAGGAAAATCGTTCTGGCACCATTCCGGATTGTCAAAGCGTAACAGTCTCGTTTAGTCGCGGCGTTGTTGTCCCAGGAATGGAACTTCCAATGGGGCTTTTTTCCAGCATGATGGCAACATTATTACAGGGACCTGTGAAAAAGGAAGCTTGGAGGGATGGTTCATTGCAATTTCGTTGATACTATTGCGTTTACACTGGTCCTCTTCCTCTTCCTTCCCCCACCCCTCCTCCCTCCTTCCGCTCCTCCCGCTCATCCTTCTCGTTCCCCTCATCCTGTTCTTCCTCCCTCTCCTCATCCCTGCTCCCTCCTTCTACTCCTCCTCCTCCTCCTCCTCCTCCGCCTCCTCCTCCTCACTTTTCTCTTTCGCGCGCCGCAGCGACAGCGAGAGTTCCTCGTACTGCCCCGCTGCAGCGCTGGCCTCACTTCGGAATCGGCGCTATGCGCTCCTCGCTCAGAATGGTGCGCTCGCCCCCGCGCGGGCCACATATTGAGATCCGATGCCTTCCTCGTCGTTGTCGACCCCTTCCTTTCCCCTCCCCCACCCTCCCGTGCTTCTCTTGCTCCTCCCGCCCCTCCTGCTCTTCCTGCTCCTTCCTGCTCCCAGTGTTGCTGCTGCTACTGCTGCTGCTCCGCCTTTCTCCTCCTCCTCCTCCTCCTCCTACTCCTCCTCCTCCTCTTCCTCCTCCTCCTCCTCCTTCTCCTCCTGCTGCTCATCCTGCTGCTCATCCGCCCCCCCTTCCACTCCTCTGACTGCGCATCACGCGATGGGGCCACTTTGGGGAACCAGGCCCGCCAGGACACCCCGTCGGCGGGCGGAGCACATCTCAGCACAACGAGACGAGGTGGGTGAGAGGGGGCAGGATGTCAGATATGGCCCGTACGCAACTTGCATGTTCTCTACCTCCTCTCCTCCTCCTTTCTCTCCTCCTGCTCTCCCCCTCTTACTCATCCTCCCCGCCTCTCCTCCTCCTCCCTCTCCCTCCTACCTCCTCCTCCTCCTCCTCCCTCCTCCCCCTCCCTCACCCCTCCCCTCCCCCTCCCCCTCCCCTCCTCCTCCTCCTCCTCCTCCTCCTCCTCCTCCTCCTAGCCGTTTTGGCCCCGTCCCCCTGCGGCGCCGAGAGGGCGCGGTGGGGTGTTCTGGGCCACCGACTATCTCCACGCGATATCGGCTGGGATCTGACGTCCTGAGTCAGGAGTGACGATTACAAAAAGTCGGTGAAATGGGAAAAGGGAAGAAGGCGCGTGATGCTCGGAAGGCTCAGCAGCTGGGCCCTACCGATCCATGGCCGCCTTTGCCAGTGGGCCTCCAAGGGGCCAAGCCGCAGGTGCCGCCTACCAGCCCGTTCTACGGGTTGCCGCCATGGCCTGGGCCGCCGAGCCAGCCCACGTGGCCGCTCTGGTGCTCGCCGCCGCCGCCCCCGCCAGGCGGTCGCAGGCCCGTGAAAGGAGTTGGAAAAGGGAAAGGTGATGATCGAAAAGTGAAGTGCAGTCAATGCCCGCGGTGGGCATGGGTGTCCAAGCTCGAGCAGTATGGGAATACTTGCCTGTGCGGGTCGCCCTTCACGAACGAGGCCCCTCCACCAGTGGCACCACCTGGTGGCGGCGGCAAGGCAAGTGCCATCGGGTCGGCCATGAGGGGTCAGTTGCAGGAGCTCATTAGGTCGCAGCCCGGCAGCGTGCAGGCCAAGGCAGCGCAGAGTCTCCTGGATGCGGCCAAGGAGGAGCCGCCAACCAGAGGGACGGGCGGTCCGCCTGTCACCCAGCGCGTCACGGAGGTGACGGCGCGGGTCCAGAGGGCCCAGACGTACTTCGACAAGATTCGGGCGCAGCAGGTGCGCCTCACGATGGAGCTCGAGAAGTGCAAGGGGTCGCTCGCGGAGGCGGCCAAGGCGCTTGCGCTGGCGGAGAAGGAGCGGGCCGAGGTCTTCCAGACGGTGGTGCCCGCGCCAGCGCCGACGCCTGTGGCTGGGATCGACCTGAGCGCCCTCCTGGGCGCCGACGAGAAGGAGATTTCCGAGTCCATGTTCACTGTCAACTTGGGCCCCGAGTTCGACAACTCTGACGGGGTGATGGACGAGAATGACCTCAAGGAGATCGAGCGGCGCAAGAAGCTGGTCATGAGTGCTCTTGTCGGTGCGCTCAAGACCACCTTCGGTGACTTGCAGGACACGCTGAGGCAGCATCGCGAGTCATTGGGCGCCATGAAGGAGAAGGTCTCCAAGAAGAGACGGCACACGTCTCCGACGCCTGGAGGCCAGGGCGAGGCCCAGGCGGGAGCTGCTGCTGGTGTCGGCACGGGGGCGCCTGCGGAGGCGGGCGCGGCGGCCCCTGCCGCGGCGGCTGCTGCTGCGGAGGTGGCCGAGGCCACGAGCCTGGCTGCGGGCGCTGGCGCGGCAGCGAAGCCCGACGACGCGGAGGCTGCGAAGCTGGAGGCCGTCAAGACGAGGCTCGCGGCGGAGGCCGACACGATGCTCAGTGCTGCCAGGGCGTCTGCGGCAAATGGGTCAAGCCTTTAGCCTGCAGGGCTCCCCTGACCTCGGCGGGCCATCCAAGGATGGAGGTTGGGGGGCTGAGCCGCTCCCGCCGAGTACCTGTTCAAGATCGGCCTCTTCAACAGCTACGGCTTCTGCGGGCCCTGCTGGCAGCGGCGCTGGCGCTGGCGCTGTCGCGGCGGCGGCGGCTGCCCACTGCCCAGGCCGCGCGTCCCCTGCCACGGCCATGTTCTCCCGTTCCCCATCGGTCGGGGACGTTAAAGCTCTGGGCTTCGGCCTTGCGCCTTTGGGGCGGGACGAGAGTGACGTGGTGGGGGAACTCGCTGGCGGCCTGGGCTCGGCGGCGGCGCGTGCGGACGCTGGCCTCAGGAGGCTGTATGTACGCAACTTGGGGGGCTGGGGACCAGCTGCGAAGTCCCTTGCCCAGCAGCATCGTGCGGACATCATTGTGGTTCCTGAGACTCATGTGGGGCCCGCAGGCTCGAATGATGTCCTTCATGATTGGCGGAAATCGGGATACACGGGCGTGCTCTCGGCGGCCTATTCGACGGCTACGCGAGAGAAGTCAGGCGGTATCACGATGGGTGTGCGCAAGCGTTTTCGAGTTTCTTCTCTGCGCCATTTGGCTGCGGCGCCTCAGGATCAGGTCGGCCTCAGGCAGCTGGACCAGTCGGAGCAGCCAGGCCTGGATTTTCGTGACATGGTGGCTGTGCAGCTTCGAGCCCAGCATCAATCCCTGCTGGTCGTGGGCGTGTACATGACCACGGCGGTGGGTGCTCGGGGCAACGCTCAGAAGTTGGCCAATCTTGGGGCGTTGTTGGCGACGATCCAGGGCATGTGGCTTGTCGTCGGAGATTGGAATATGACGCCGCAGGAGTTGTCCGCATCAGGGTGGCTCGAGCTATCGCAGGGGGTCGTCGCGGTGCCGAGCAACACGTCTTACACG